TCATTGGCAGCAGTGGCAAAACAAGAAATACAGAATTATACCTCAAATGGCATTGTGTGAAATGAGTTTTTAACATGTTTATTTCTTTCTAATTGAAGGTCCTAAGTGTAAGAATTATCACAAATGCAATTCTGATTAGTCACAGTGTAATGAAAGTCTGAAAAAAATAAAGGCTTTAGAGTCTGGAGGTTATCAAAGACATGGGAAGCTTTTGAGCTGTTTAAGTGTAGTGGGTAATGTTCTGTTTAATTAATAAAATGAGCTCAAGATGTTTGCTAAAGGACAGACCTGAGAAGCTAGAATTCTAAATGACTCCGTTATAGGGTTGGGAACATGTTTAGACTAACAGTTTGCATGACATAGTGCCTAAAATAAAGTTAAGGGTAAAACTTAAATCTCTCGAATATTGATATCAAAAGGTAGGTAGGACCAAAGTTTTATGAGCAAGAATGAAACTTTTGAAGACTGGAAAAAATGTCTAAATACATCCAGGAAGTTATCATTAAATATTTTGTTTTCCAAACTGCTTGCGAATCACTCAGATTTTGCCTTTTGTCATTAGCCCAAGTCAAATAGCAATCTGTTGTACTGAAACACGGGCCTGTTTCCTATCTCCGAGTTCTCGCCTTCAGTTACTGTATAAAGCATGCCCCTGAAATATGAGTGAATCACCTTAACATTTCTCAGGCTTCTGAAATGGTTCCTTGTGCCCCCAGAAACTTAGTTATCTAGCATAAACACCCAAATCCACACCTCTCAACTGCTAGGTGTATATGCATATAGGAGCCCTACTGGAAGAAGGTCCTTAATAACTCTTTTTGTCCAGCTTCCCCACTTCTTTACAAAATAAAGCACAAGATTCTCAAGCTGTGAGGAAATTATGAGCCTGTCCTTTGTTAACGTTTGCATAGTACTTCTGAGCACCACTGGTACAAGGTATTGGAACAGAAACACCTTCCAAGCTTAGTAGTTGAACTGTTTCAGTGAATAAATGTGCACGAGTAACATTGCAATCTGTCATTTACTTTCATAAGCTGCATATGAGTGATAATGCATAGCAAACGCACTGTATGTATTTTGGAGTTGCAGGAAATGGTATGTTTCCATTTGTTCAGAGGATTAATTTCCAACCTTAACTTCATTTGCAGAGGGCAGAAGTGGAAGCAATGCACTGGTTGATGTTGGTTTCTGGCTGTATGGGCCCTTCTGCTTCTGCACTGTAATATTCTAACTAGATTTTCACTACCAAAACAAAGTTATTTTGAAAGTTTTCATGAAAAAGTATCACTGATATAAACATCTTCAAGTCCGTTCCTTATCAGGAAAGGTTTGCTAAAGAATTGTTTTGTTTTCCATGTTTTATTACTTTTTTTCGTGTGGTCTGTTTACATACATCATAAAGAAAGAACATAAAAATAGACACAAAATGGTTGTAAAAATACTGCATACAAATAAGGCCTGTCTTGGTACAGTATCTCCATGTCTTGGAGGAAAATCCATAGCTATTATTTGTCTCATGAAATCCCACTTAGCTCAGAGTGAGCTATTAATCGTGTTTTTTTTCTAAAAGAAAAGAAAGTAATTTCCTTTCTCTGTCTTACATATCTCAGGAAAAAAAAAGAAAAAAAATATAGCTTGTCGATAGTTGACTATTCTCAGATACTCAGGCTATGACCACGCACACAATCCTGTTCAGTTGATGGAACAGTTCTAATGAAAAAGAAAAAAACCAGTATTAATTTTTTCTGTTTCTTATGTTTATTCATATTCATATTCTTTGTTGAAAGCCTGAAACAGAGGACATATCATACTGGTGAATCACCTGTGGAGGGAAGGAACACTGCTTAAAAATTTGACCCTTTCTGCATTTGCACTGATACATAGTCCTGATGAAGTTACAATAGGCTTCCCTCCAACATTCTTTATAAATTATTTTTGCTGTGCATGATGGAAAAGAAGTAGAATTGGAGTTGCAAGTGTAGCCGTAGAAAGACAGGTTGCTAACTTTCAAGTTGACTTTGAAAACTCAAATCTGGATTTAATATGAATTGTATGTATAGTTTGTGAAAAAAACCCCACAAACTTAAGGGTCGGTTAGCTCAGTAGGGGGCCGGTTAGCTCAGTCAGTTGAGCGTGGCGCTAACAACGCTAAGGTCTCAGGTTCGATTCCCGTTCAGTCCCCATGTGTTGCCTGATCTAGTCGAGAGGTGGAGAGGTGGCATCCCTGGCTGGATTAAAATGATCTCTGAGGTCCCTTCCAGCTTAGGCAATTCTATGATCTATGATCTAAAGAGTTTCCAGATAAAAAAAAATAATAATATACAAAGTTGTGCTATGAAATGTTCCAGCACATGCTTATTTCAATATACCATATATTTTTATCTGTTTTCTTCTAGTATTACTAAATAATAATTGTGTGTCTCATTTGCATGTACAAACTATTCTGTAGCTAGCAAATAATTAGTGATACATTCGTTTCTCTGAAGAAACAGAAGATTTGTACTATACCTAATGTGATCCTGTAACTTTGATGCTTAGCTACATGAAAGTAAGGAAAAGCGCTTTACTGAGTAGGGAATACTCACTCGGCCATTCTTTACACCTCACTCTTGATACTCCTCACAAACTCTTCTAAGGCAGAAAGAAGTCTTGAGTAAAAGTATCAGGCTGGGTTTTTATAGGGAATCTATTCCTACAAAATAGGTGGTATTATCAGTTGTATTCATCAGCTGTGTGGATTTCACAAATGAGGACATTTTTCACCCATTGTCAGCAGCACTGGAATGGAGGCTATCCAGAAAATCTGTTGAGCTGGTAGCATTTCTGATTTGCTGCCTTCGAGGTCTTTTCATCTCTGGTTCATTCTGAGTTACCCTGGCAAAAATATTCTACCCAAAAACTGAATCTTTTTTAGCATTTAGTGAGGAGAAGAAATGTGGAAAACTTCAGTTGTGTTTAATTACATATTGTTTTAAAATAAAACAAGTGAGTTCACATACAATTACAGCCAATTTACAGCAGTCACTCACTAATTTAAATTAAAAAGTCTGCAACTGCAGAGTAATTATACCTTAATTGCACTTTTAATACAAGAAAGTGAAGAGAGCCTAATGCATTGTATTTATGATATAACAACCATTTGAAAAAATATATTAGCATAAAGGGAGTAATTATGTTCCGTGAATGAACAAATTAATTCAAATCAACACCTAGGTCACTAAAGGTTTTGTGTATCTTTTTTTAATTTGTATTGTTAAACAGCAGCAAAGTTAATTTTCCATACATATTAATTATTAGCTGAAAAATTGACTACACCCAATTTGCACCCGTTCAGTGTGTTACTGTTCTCTTAGGATTTTAAAGATCAGACACATACTGCTATAAGTTCCCCTTTTCCCACAAAGACCTTTGGCACATTACCTTGCTTCCCAGCCACTCAAACCAAATAGCTTTTACTATATCCGAAATTAAGCATTTCTGGGAATACCATCACTAGATATTAGCTAAAATTTCATTGCTTCTTTATGAAACTGCCTTAAGCCTCTGAGAGGTCTATTCTGTCCCTAATGTGTATGGATATATAACTTCCATTAATGTTAATGTCTGGTCTGTTCTTGCACTTGTTAAGTATTACCTTCTTGCATAGTGGACCACTATGTGTGTTAATCAGAGTAGCGTTGTGTGACGTGGAAGTTAACAGAAAAAATAGGAAAAAAAAAAACAAGAGTGCAGGTGGAATAATAAAAATTTTGGCATGGGAAAGTGATTAGAAACTCCAATCATGTAATTGTAAAAGCTAGGAATTTGTGAGTATGCATCTTGACTTCCTGTGCAGACTGTATAAACAAAATGACCTTTGTGTATGATTAGCCACCTGTTACAGAGATTTGAATGGCTATCTGATTTTTTTCTTTTTTATATCACCTATTTATTCTATATAACAGTGCATGTTGCTTTTATAGGGATATTTTCAACACACAGCTGTAGAGTTAGATGAGAGGGAGTAGACAGGCCTGCAAATTGTGATTTTACTGAGTTTCTTGTGGATGAAGAGAACATATTTGTATTTCCAAACAGCCATGTAACTGAGCAGTCATGTATGTGTAAAAATACTCTTTTTGCTAGCTGCAGTTTGTCACCTTAGCTCATATACTGGCAGAGCTGAATGTAATAGAAGTAATAAATCACAGAATGGTTGAGGCTGGAAGGGACCTCTGGAAATCCAACTCCCTTGCTCAAGCAGAGCTACCTAGAAGTGATTGCCCAGGACCATATGGCTTTTGAATATCTTCAAGGATGGAGACTCTGCCGCCTCCTCCCTGGGCAGCCTGTGCCAGTGCTCAGTCGCCCTCACAGAAAAAAAGTGTTTCTTGGGAGGGAGCCTCCTTTATTTCAGTTTGTGCTTTTTGCCTCTTGTCTTGTCAGTGGGCAGCACTTGAAAAGAGCCTGGCTCCCTCTTCTTTGCACCATTCCTTCCGATATCTGTACATATTGATGAGATCCCCCCTAAGCCTTCTCTTCTACAGATGAAACAATCCCAGCTCTCTCAGCCTTTCCTCATATGAAGATGCACCAGTCCCTTATTTGCCTGGACTCTCTACATTAGCTCTATATCTGTCTTGTACTGGGGAGCCCAAAACTGGACACACTACTGCAGGTGTGGTGTCACCAGTACTGACTGGAGGTGAAGGATCACCTCCCTTGACCTGCTGGCAATACTTTGTCTAATGCATCCCAGGCTACCCTTTGCCTTCTTTATGGCAAGGGCACTTTGCTGGGTCGTGGTCAACTTGGCCACTCAGAAGTCAGCTGGCACACTCTTTTTAATAGCAAAAGTCTACTCTGTGGGTATGAAGGCAGAATAGAGAACTCAGCTGAGTTCCAGTGATTGCACCTATCCAGTTGTGCCTCTGAGGAGACCATCTACGTGGTCTCTTTGGGATTCTCACATCCTTTGGTCTGTCTTCATTATGCTTTGCATCAGTGGATTTACCAAATGTTTTTTAATATCTATCTATCTATCTATCTATCTATCTATCTGTCTATCTATCTATCTATCTATCTATCTATCCTTTCTCTCTCTCTCTAGTCAAGCTCATAAAAATCCACCTGTGGATAGGATCAGAAGATGTGTGTTTTAGATTATGTAGCTCAGTGGCGTCTGGGTCCATGAGTAGAGTTCCAGCTTGCTACAATAAAGCAAAAAATAAATAACAATAAGGTGCTGTGTCAGCCTTTTGAGCTTTGGTGCAGGACATAGAAATATATTTCCTGAATTTTAAATTAATTCTTCATTATTTTTTCAGGCAATCCTCCACTATAGAAGGGGCCACATGAGGCTGTTTACAATAGCAAGAACAAAATGAAATAAGAGAAGTGTAATAAATAAACCCATGTATGATAAAAATCACAAAGCACAATTTTATTATTGGTTTCTTAAGTGCAGTTCCTAGAAACAACTTGGTGGAGAAAGCAAAGCAATGAACTCACTGAACAGTCCTTTTAATATTCTGCTCTACGTTTGTGCTCTGCTGAGCTGATGAGAGCTGTATGTAAACAGTTTTGCTTAGGGCAAAAGAATGTTTTGTCATTGAGAAGCATGACCTCTCTGTGATCAAACTGAAAATCATATGCCCCTTGATGTCATAAAGTGTTATCGTGACCGTTCCAATGGGTTGGGAAGTTGTCCCCGACACAATTTGATATTAAAATGTTACATGATCATTAACTGTATTCACTGACACAGCAGAAATATTCCTCAAAGTCATGTTTCTCTGAATGTTTAAAATTTAGATCAGACACAGGGAAAGTCCAATTACTGTGAAATACTTTGTCACCCACTCTTTTGCTGTGGTCCTTCTGTTCCACTTCTTGTGGGTGAAACCACTCTTAAAGTGAACTCCTTGGTAGTTATTTTACACCTTGAAAAACACAGAATCACAGAATGTTAGGGGCTGGAAGAGACCTCAAAAGATCATCTAGTCCAACCCCCCTACCAGAGCAGGATCACCTACAGTAGGTCACACAGGAACGTGTCCGGGCGGGCTTTGAATATCTCCAGAGAAGGAGACTCCACAACCTCCCTGGGCAGCCTATGCCAGGGCTCCGTCAACCTCACAGTGAAAAAGGTTTTCCTAATGCTTTTGTGGAACCTCCTGTGTTCCAGCTTGTATCCATTGCCCCTTGTCCTTTCATTGGGAGTCACTGAAAAGAGCCTGGCACCGTCCTCCTGACACTCACCTTTGACGTATTTATAAACATTTATGAGATCACTCCTCAGCCTCCTCTTCTCCAAACTGAAGAGATCCAGCTCCTTCAGCCTTTCCTCAGAAGGGAGATGTTCCACTCCCTTCATCATCTTTGTGGCTCTGCGCTGGACTCTCTCCAGCAGTTCCCTGTCTGTCTTGAGCTGAGGGGCCCAGAACTGGACACAATATTCCAGATGTGGCCTCACCAGGGCAGAGTAGGGGGGGAGGAGGACCTCTCTCGACCTACTAACTACTTGCCTTCTAATACAGCCCAGGATGCCATTGGCCTTCTTGGCCATGAGGGCACATTGCTGGCTCATGGTCATCCTGCTGTCCACTGGAACCCCCAGGTCCCTTTCTCCTGCACTGCTTTCCAGCAGGTCCGTCCCCAACCTATACTGGCACATGGGGTTATTCTTTCCCAAGTGCAAAACTCTACACTTGCCCTTGTTGCACTTCGTAGGATTTCTCCCCATCCAGCCCTCTAGCCTGTCTAGGTCTCTCTGAATGGCAGCACAGCCTTCTGGTGTGTCAACCACTCCTCCCAGCTTTGTGTCATCAAACACTGGCCTCAGCACTGACCCCTGAGGGACTTCACTAGATACAGGCCTCCAACTTGATGCTGCCCCATTGACTACGACTCTCTGACTTCTTCCCTTCAACCATTTAGCGACTCACTTCACTACTTGGTCATCCAGACCACACTTCCTCAGTTTACCTATGAGGATGCTGTGGGAGATGGTGTCAAGTGCTTTGCTGATATCCAGATAGACCACACCCCCTGCATGGCCACCATTCATCCACCTGGTTATGTCTTCATAAAAGGCTATCAAGTTGGTCAAGCATGACTTCCCTTAGCAAAGCCATGCTGACTGCTCCTAATAACCTTCTTATCCTTGATATGCCTAGAGACAGTGCCAAAGATAAGTTGTTCCATCACCTTTCCAGGGATGGAGATGAGGCTGACCGGTCTGTAGTTACTCAGGTCATCCTTCCTGCCCTTCTTATAGACCGGAGTGACATTCACTTTCCTCCAGTCTTCAGGCACCTCACCTGTTGTCCATGACTCACATGAACACAAATAACAGGATATATCTCTCGTTTATCTATGTAAGATTTTTGTCCTGTTTCTGTACTAAGTGATTATTGATCGTTAAGATGCATTTAGCCCTTATCAGAACATTGTCTTTTCCAACCTAAACAATTCTAGGATTCTATTATTGTGTTTTAAAGTAGCATGCAAAAAAAAGAAGGATATATCTCCAGTATTAGTCACTGTTACACTGAATGGCTAACATTTTGAAAGCATAGTTGTTTCCATACAGAAGTTCTAACACTGAAAAGGATGAACAGAATACAAAAATTTTCCTTGAAAGCAATGTTTTTGACATTTGTGGGTTGGACATTTGTGACCTTTGGGGTTTTTTATGATATTTTTAAGCATGGTCACATTTCAGTTTCTCCTTGTCAGGTCCAATTGCAAAAAAGCACTTAAACACACAATTTAAGATGGAGAGCAATCCCATCTAATACCACTGGGAATTATTCAGTTATTTAAAAACAATTGAAAAACCTTTGCTGGACAGAGATTTTTCATTTCAGTCTCAGCTTCCAGTTCTTCGGAAGTAGATTCTCTATGTACAGTTTTGATTTTCTGATTTTCTTTTTCTTTACAGGTAACCCGATAGCTAAAGACAAATCAAGTCTGTCTCAAGGCTGATAACATTAAATACAACACATAGGAATTTCATTCCTCCAGGCAATCCTTGAAGTGAAATTTTATACTGCTGGGGTGTATCCTTCAGAATCAATTGTTTCAATGAGAACCTGGCTTATAATCAGCAACAGCCTTGAGATCAAAACTACTGGAAAGTTATTCTGAACTTCTGTGTCACAAGGATTTTGAAATGATTGAACTGTGTACACTTGTAAAATTGCACTTGCTGAGGAATTTGCAGCCGTAATCACAAGAGTTGGTATTCAAAAGGTGCAGGAAAGCAGCAACCTTTCGAATTCTTCATTCCAGACCGGTGGCTTTTCATCTTGATGAAGTCAACCTTGAAAAAGTATTGGTTCCTTTCCTCTAAAATGATCCCTGGTTCACCATTCAGATTGCTGGTGGGACTGCACACTGCTTTAATTAAATTTCTGTTGCAGAAATTGTCCTCTGGCATGGCGCAGTTTTAGACATTTTTATTTGTATTCTAATCTTGGAGCTCTCAAAGGTACATATTTAAACATCTTGAAGTTGCTTTTGTTATAGGAATGGAAATATATATCCATTGTTAATCATTATTGTTGACAAGTAATAGTTACCTGAATTCATCAATCATATTAGAATGTATAGTCAGGTTGACATGTTTCCCTAAGACTAATCAAATACTGCAGCTCTTTGACAGTTAAAAAAGTAGAGGTCCAAGCTCGATTACCACTTCCATTATAATGCATTTTATACCTTTAAGATATACATTTCCATTCAGTTAGAAGGAGATGGGTGTTCTTGATATGTGCTTTACGTTCCCAACCTTTAATTCACTGAAATTCGTGGTAAGCAGTCAGTGACAGTATTTCATCCCTTTTTATAAAGGTAGGCAGGGATGTAAATGAGTTTTGCAGTTACGGAATTGGATGGTAATCATTCAGAATTTTTGTCTTTTTATTAAAAACTAAAAACTCTTGCTTGACCCTAAGTACTGTTGGATGCTTATGTAGATGTCTGCTCAATCTGTTTGCTATAAAACAAAAAATTCTAGTGCTCTTCCAGACTTACAGTTTGTGGGTATTTTGCTTGCTTACAGTCATCTAATTCATATCTGATCCTTGCCAAAAATCACATTTCCTTTTTTTATTTTTTGTTTCAGTAGCAATTTTTGACCTTTGTGATGTGCTGTTACATGAAAAAAATCGTCAATATTTAAAGGCCTTAAGCATCTATGAGCTTTTTTCTAAGTTATTACAGAATGTATAATTTTATACTCCATTTAATGTATATTGTACCATCTGTAATATTGATAAAACAGAAATTTGGCAATTCCTTTCAGTGACACTGCATAAGCATGCTGACTGGAGAGAGTGAGGACGTTCTGACTGAATGCCTTGATGCATTGAAATGAAAACCACATGCACTTAATAGTAGCCAAAAATATATAGGGCCAAGCTTCTTTAAAAGTCTTGTGTGGTTACCAGACTCCCAGAAAAAGAGGGAAATTATTTTATCACTACAAGCCATTGACGTGGCTAGGTAGTTATGTATTAAGTTCCATGATGGATGAACACCCTGGAGTGCTCTGCCTGTCACAGTAGCCCCTGCTGTTCCAAAACCATTTCATTACCTCTGCTGTATTATTGCACAGGAGAGCTTAAATAAAATAAATGACTGTTGGGAATAAAATTGAGAAGTATATTCTATCATTCTGCTGAGAAATAATAAAAGATGTTGGCAGGGAAAGATATTCTTTTCTGATTAAAATTTAATTAGGATAAACTGTTTGTAGCAGCAGCTAGGTATCTCTATTTTAGGATGGATTACTATTGTATGGATTTGTGCTAACAGGTGCAGGACAGAAGGTGGCATCTTAAAGAGATTGTCTGGGACAGTGCAAAGTGTAAGTGTGATGTTTTGTAAAATCTGAATGTGGCCTCTCTTTGGTCAGAAAACTACATTATGCTCTCAATATTTGTTTTCTTTGTTTCTTTGTTCTTAAACGAACACTGAAAATAGTGTATTATATACAAGTGTAACACATGCATATCAATAAGTGAAAATAAATGGATTTTCAAGTATACTGAATAGATTATCTGCCGTAGTTTAATGTTGTGAATATTCATAGCAAATGAATAAAATTGTAATATAAATTAGAGCTCCCTGTATGGATGTGCGCTTTGGAGATCTATTCTGTTTAACCATGGAACAAAGTAATTTTTTCCAGTGAATAAGAATTTCAAGAATTTTGTATTTCTTCAGTAGAGCTGTGACTATCTCCGACCACTTTGAAAGGTCTTTTCCAAAGGAAACTGAAATCTAGCAAAACTGTTCTGGTATTGTCAGGGGAAGCTCTGTTCTCAGGCCAGACTGAATGAAAACTTGTGTTTTTTTGTTCACAAATTGAATTGGGAATTCTGAAAAATACTCATTTAGATGTTTTCAGTAAAAACAGAATATTGTAGACATTTCTGAAAAGATAATGTTTCAGGTTAATGTGTTGAACTATTTAAAAGGAAAAAAAAAAAAAGAACTCTGCTTGTGTATCTCAGAGCAAGCTGACAACTACAGTTCAGCTGCCCATAGTGCCCGGTTTGGCTCTGCCTTTGAAAGTGCAAGTACAGCTGACTGGATCAGCTATGGGCATTCATGTTGTAGGTGTGTGAAGATGAATCCTGCTTCAATTACTGCTTTATTCCCTGCCTACTACCTCCCAGATTATTTGATAAACCCAGCTTCATCTGATTACAAAAATGATCTGGTATTATGATCAGAGGGGAATCCGTGATACCCTTTGAATTAAATAGCCATCAAGAACTCTGAACTGCAGGAGAATATGGGCTCCTATTCTGCACTTCCATGTGACAGTGCATTGGCAGGGAAAGAAAGCTCACTGCTTTGTTCAAACCTTTCAGAATGAAGTGTATTGGATCAGTTCAACAAAATGTAAAGGAAATCCTGATATGAGTCTTAATGAAAAAGTTTCCAAATCAGATCTTATAAATCTAAAATAGAGCTGAAAAACCATTCCAGACTGTGTCTTGGTTATATCTAGCTTATTGGTTGTAAGTGCTAACTTTTGAAATGGCACTGCTGCAGATAGCACCGTTACTTCACTTAAATCCTATTATCCTATATACTATTATCCTATATACTTTAAATTTTCTTCTTTATCCTATATCTTTTAAATCTTGGCTCTTCCAGCTCTGCTCAAAAGTGTTACTGGTGTAGTGTTTCAGTACTTCATCAGTTCAGTGCAGCTCTATTTCATGTAGAATCTATATGCTTTAAAACTGGAGACAGAGTGCATCAGATATATTTGTTTTGAAACTAAAAATCTAGTATAAAACATGTTATTTTGTTAGGTTTCTTAAAATATAGATACAGGATTTTTGTGCTCATTATAATTTTACAGCTGGCTTTTGTAGTTTCCAGGTGATGCATGGATGTCTATAACAACAAAACAGAAAAATGTGATGATTGGCATCCTTTTCTGTTGATTTACTGCCTACTCCTTTATGCCTTGAATTTTACACATCTGTTGTTGACCAAGATACTGGCAAGGAAAATGAGCAAAGTTTTTTGTTTGTAAAAGAAGTGTTGCCTTAATCTCTAGTTTCTTTTTGTCAATAGCGAGATAGCTCTGAACAATCTGATGGCATTAAATTATTTCGTGTGCTTTCAGTGGTAATAAAATGAATAATAATTACCTAATCTTTCCTAATCTTTATAATGAGAAACTTTTCTGTTTATTCTTTTATAGAATCAGAAAAGATTTCCAAACTACATCCTTGATCTTGTTTCTGTAACAGGTTATGTAACTTTCTGATACTACTTTACAGTCAGTCATTGCACATATTTTAGCAAAAATGTCTTCCATGGCTGCTGTTTTGCATCCTCTGTATTTATCTGCACTGCATATGCAGTGATTAAAAGAGGTAGCATATGAAAAGGCTGAATTTCCCACAACTTTGTTTTGACAGGTGATGACAAGTGTTGCCAACATCTCTTAATCCAGAACTAACTTAAGACCATCTGGCAGGAGCACCACTAACGGTGACAGCTGGAAGCTCTTATGTAAGGGAATGACTGCTATTCTTTCTCAGACTGCTATCAGTGGGATGGTTTCATCAGCAGCGATGTAGGTTCTGGGGGATGTGGGTCCTGCACGGAGGCACTGGATGCATTTTCATCCCATGGCTGGGGCTGTGGTGATGCCAGCAGGTCCTTGGACCTTTTCTCTAGAGCAGTGGAAAAGTCTGTCTCATGTATCTCTGGGATTTGCTCCAAATCCAGACCAGAGAAATGACAAGGTGCCTTGGTGATTTCAGTAGGGTTTGGATAAGGCCTTCAGCTGCAGTTAAGTGTTCATCATTTTGCTCAGAAAATTCTAAATGAGCAAGTTCATTAAGGTTCATACACCTGTCCCTATTCAGGTTAATGGTTAAAGAACCTTCCCTCTATTTTCAATCCCTCCTTGCCACTACACAGATAATTCTGTATGGCAATGGGAAATGACATCCAGTTATTCCTTGAAAATAGAGTTTCTTGATTAAATATCAATTAAAATATCAATTAACCGTGACTGAAAGACGTGAAATATATCTGGATTTCAGTTCTGAAAACCAGTTTATCGTCCAACTAAGTTCAAGAAATAGTTTTTGTAGTGGAAATATTATTGCTCATATGTAACCCTAACTGTTACAAGTTCTATATTAGCTCTTTAAATTATGTTTATATTCAGAACTAAAATTCTCAGTCCTCTATAACAGCAGGGCCTTTCTTTTTTTCTTTATAACAACGAGGTAACCTGAAGACCCTGTAGTTTGGGATTTATAGCTTTTCTTCCACTGCTTCAACTGCAGAGCTGGGAAAACAATAAGTGAAGATATTAGTTACTCCCATTGCTGAGACATTTTTCTTAAATATGATGAGTAGGTGGAGTTGCAAGTTTGCCCCATATCAGCATATTGATTGAATCTCTTGATCTCTTTTCTCTTTACTGTCATAATAAACAAAACAAAAACAGAATTCGATTTCTCCAGCCTTATTTCTTAATATTAGATCTGATGTCCAGAACTCACAAAGTGTGGGTTAGTTGTTTTAGTTGCTGTGTCTCTATATAAAGAACTTTTTTTAGTCTGTTTCCCTTTTTATGTTTAATTCTGGATGTCTTGTCAATGTTTGGATGTAGAGAACACAGACCCTCCTATTACTAATTTAAGAGTTTGGATCTCCTTGTTGTTCTTTTTTTTTTTCTTTGGCAATTTTATCTTTTCCTGGGAAGTTCTTATGAAATGCTACTGGTGATGAGAAAAGTTTTTTTTTTCTTCTAAGTAGTAGCCTGGAACTGA